AACATGGTGCTTGTGGTGAGACTTTCGGCTGACGACGTGGGGGCCGTTGTCTCGACGAGGATTAGGGAGGGGAGGAGGCGGGCAAGCATGCTTTCGCTGATGATCAGTCAGGTCAGAGACGCGCTTGTAGAGGGGGTTGTTGTTGAACTCCGAGAAGTCTTCCTCCTCCTCGAGGTAGTTGTGCTGAGTAGACATGATGACAAGCTGCTACAGCGAAAGATGTTGGTGTTGAGGGGTAGTGTATTCTTGTGGTAATGAAGGGGTTGTATGTTGTGATGGCTGTGAAGAATAAAACTCCAAGGAGATGTTTGAGTGTGGGTGGAGGAGTAAAAGTTTTAGAGCATCCCGTCTTGTTGTGGTGAGGATGTATTGTTCAGGGGGAGATGGTTCGTCTTGCTGTTCTGCCACTGCCCGCTCTGGCAGTGGCAGCTGCGATGCCCTCGCATTTCGCGAGGCTGCACACAAGGCTGCCAGTGGCTCGATCAGAGTTCAGCCGTCAAGGCCTGAGGCCTGAGGATAGAACTCTAAGACTTTGGCACTGGCGATGGTCAACGTTCAGGTGCTGGGTGATGAACCATCCACTGAAGTCAGTATGGCCCAGGAAGCAAGAAAACTTCTGATGTCACCTAGTAGGTAAATATCCTGAACAAACTGGTCTAAATGAGATACAATAAACCTACCCAAAACTTGTCATCACTTAGAAAGGGGGTCTGAGGATTTCTCCAGGAGCTTCTTCTGTTCGGGAGTCATTGTTTGGCACAAAATTAACATTAAACCGCCTGCGCTTAAATATCAGATCGCCCAACATGCATGTATATATCCCCTACTCCTCTATCCCTGCTCCTCTCTCTTCTTATCGAGGCAACACTCGTCTTGACGACCTTCTCAATCGCGTCACCGCCACACACAGCGACAGCAACGTTCCCAGGAACATTACCAACCGCCGTTCTGATGAACGTCGCGATCTCGGGTCGACCCTCTGTATGTTCAATGGCCGAAGCATGTGCCCCATCGAAGTCCATGTCCATCTCCTCCTTCAGCAGCTGTTCCTCCCTACCACTCTCCAAAGAGGCACTGGAGTCTATTGAGAAGCGCTCCAGCTCAACACTTGGGCCTCTCGGCTCTTCGATCAATCTTTCATGACTTGCGTTCGCGTCGTCACGAAGAACGGCATCGGAAACGGTACCGCCGCCCTTCGTTACCGCGACTTGAACATTCACAGAGATCCCCATCTCCTTCGCTTTCGACAGCACACGTGATATGCGCTGAAGATAGGGCTCCGCATGCGCCCTCCGACGAACAATGTACAAAGCATTGATCTTGCGAACACATCCCGGCGATTGCGTCGAAAGTCGATCCTCGAGAACAGGCGTGGTGAACGATCCTCCCGTCGACGCAGCGACAAGAACAACATTCTCAAACTGTTTCCAATTCGGCACCGCGCCAAAAGGCCCTGTAAGCATAACCCTCATGCTCCCGTTATCACCCCTCAATCCCGTCCTCCTCGCCCAATCATTAAGGTCCCTCGTCAATCCGGTCTTCGTCTTAATCGTAAGCTGAACATCCTGATTCTTGCCTTCAGAGTCCGGAATATTAGCAATGGTAAACGGATGCGGTGTCTCCCATCGAAAAGTTGGCGACCAAAGCAAAACATGCTGTCCCGGCTTCCACTTGAAGCCAACATTTCGAATAGTCAAGGTGGTCAATTCGTCGTCGACTGCTTGGATACTGGCGTCGTATGCGTATCTCACAGATGGATTCGCCGAAACCCGAAGCCGCAGGTTCCGCCAGATCGGATTCGCCGAGCGTGTCACTACATCATATGCAAAAACGCCCACGGCGCACCAGATGCTAAAGAGGTGGTGGTCTGGAACATGGAGGACCAAAAAGACGAGAAGTAGTACGACTGAGATGATATGCTGTACCACGAAGATTTCGTACTTCATACGTCGGAAGAAGGGCAGCGTCGACACAACCGTCCAAGCTAGGATGAACCACGCTCCAATTCCCGGCAGTACCATCTTGACGGTCTTGATCTCGGTCCAGAAGAAGCTGGCGCCTAGCCATTCCCATGCGAAGAAGCCGCCGTGGATGGTTGCGCTTGCGAAGAAGACCCTTGACGCCCATCTGTGGAACCAATTGAGCCTCTCGTACGAAGTTCCAAGTAACAGACCAATTGGGTTGACGCGCACAGCTAGGAGGAAGGGTAGGGAAGTCTGTGTCGCGGTTATCCAAGCTGCGCGAAACGCAATGCGCTCGTGGAAATTGGCATCGTGGTGAATGGACTTGTATGTTACAAGACCCGCCACGAACGCCGTGTACGCGACAACGACGATTGTCTTGCGAACTGGTAAAGTCGCCGACCGAACTGGAAGTCGAAATACTCTTTGAACAAGAGCCTTTGGCGCATCAATCAACTTCTCTATCGTTGAGATTGACGTATCCGAACTGGCCCCAGCAACCCTTCTTTTTATCCTATAATGTCTCAGTCTTATTCCCACGTTCTTTGAGTCAACATACCGTTGTTTAGCGATAAAAATAGATATTAACCGTGAGACAGAACCAATTATCAACACCATCGCCAAGACATACCAGTAAAGGCACGCGAGAAAGTGCTGCCTCACGGAATCCTCACTCTGATGCCCATGGTCGTGACCATGCTCCTCCTCCTCTTCATGACCATGTCCATGACCGCCGTGTCTCCTTAATAAATCCATAACGATGACATGAAGAAGAGGAGGAAGTGAGATTCCTCGTGTTGGAATGAGAGCTAGCTTGGTCAACAGGGTAAGGTTAGATTACGTGATGCTAAATCTCCGGAAGTGCCGGGTCGTAATTGGTGGAGGGAGGGAATCTTGCTCAAATGGACTCAGCCACGATGAGTCTGGAAGGACATTGACGATGAGCGTCTACATTATTTGGGCTGTGTTCAATTGGTAGAATCGTCTTTCGCATTGAGACGGCTGAACTTAATCTCAGCTTTGTGATGATGCTATTTTGGGAGCATTACCCTATACCACTGTGGTTTGAGAGAAGTGTTTACGAGGTGAAGTGAGGAGTGAAGCTTTCCGAATAACATCTTGTCGGCGATTGGATAGCTCGTATACGGCGTCCAGCAGGGTACATCGAGTATCTAACTTGCTTGGGACCATTGTGCAGTCCTCGTCAGGAAGCAAGAAGAGTTGAGACCATGAAACAGATGTCAAAATAAAGTCATTGAAGAATCCTCTAATTTCACACCAACTTTGCCTGAGTTCTTTTATCGCTGAGGATCCAGGTGTCAAACTCTTTGACCTCCCCTCAGCAGCAGTCTGAACATCGATGCGGTCAAGGCGATTTTCATTAATTCGACGTCTGGAACCTTCTGCATTTTACGACAGGGTAGCATTTACGAATGGGAATACGTTAGCCAAGCCGAGAAACCAATCTCCAAGACCCCTCGCATTTTCCGTGATTTTCGCAATATGCCAATGTCGCCATCATGACTGCTGACTCTGCTTCATGCTCAAAGCCAAGATGTCCAGAAAGCCGAGACCAACGAATTCATGATCTCTAATCCATCCCCATTGTACTCGTAATATCCCCCCAAGACCCTCACCGAATGTCATGACGCAACTCTCGAGTGCCGTGCAGGCGCATTGACCGACGTCGCCAACTCAAACGTCCAACTCATCACCTGCAAGGCGTCCAATGTCTCAGCCCGTATCAACATTCTTCCCCATTCCCAATCACCCACTGCCATTCTCAGCACTCTCTGCCGATCACCCATCCGTAACCGGCTTCACTCGTGCACATGACCAAGCCACCGATCGTCAAGCTGCATAAACAGCGTCACATTCTAAACAGACATGTGAAGTTCAATTTTCGCAATCAATACGACTCTATTGGTTCCGATGTCGGTTGCGTCATGTTGTCTTAGCCAGTGGGCACAAAGAAGAGATAGGCGTTTATAAAAAGAAAGGGTTTTGGAACATGCAGTGCTTTGTTGGTGGTTGGAGATTAACTTGCAGCTTGGTAGAGGCGCAGCTCGTAGGTGGCTGTTGGCTGTTGGCTGTTGGCTGTTCGTTCCTGGGCGTGGCACCCAAGAACCCCAAAAGGTTATCATGTGCAACACGAGATCATCTCTACCACGACGAGGAATGGTCATGCAAAAAGAGGGTGTTGTCGTTTTATTGCATCAGATGCACAGAAATCTGATCTGGCTGAAACCCCTCAGCTGCTCTGTGCATCTTATCTTTCACATGCTGCGAAATACACTGATGATAGGTCCTCGTTGATTCAGGCACAGGCACAGGGACAAAGTGAGTTGTCATGCATTGGATCTTCCATTTCTGGGGGGACCATATCAACAAGTTCCAAGCGCTTGCCAAGGCCTTTACCCCATTCACGATTCCTCTCGTAACAGAACCCCATTTTCAGCAACGGCGTCAAAATGCCTTAGGCCACGGGAAGACCCGGCGTACAAAAAAAAGAGGTCTGTGTTTCAGGCGCTGGGATCACCCCCGCGATTAGAGTGAGTGAGTGATTTTAGGCGCTCTGTGAAACTGGTCTGTGACTTCTGGATTAAAAGCAAGCTGATCAGTGCGAAAAAGAACGGACGAAAAATCAATGAGACCTTGGATGATTTGCATATCAGGTTCAGCTATTGCTGGGTCGACGTATGCAGGCATGGATGAGTTATGCGTCGGTACATGTATCTGTGTCCCACTTGATGTTTGACACGTGGATACCATGAAGCATAATAAACTTGAGACTGTGATCATGAAGACCACTCCGTAGACATTGTGAGTACATTATTCAGCTACCGTGGTAAGGCTTCAAGTCTTGTGCAATCCTACAGAGAAACAAACAGAGCACGGCGTTAGAGAAGTGTAAACGCCAGCGGACGGACCGACAGGACAGACAAAAAAAAGGCGCAGCAACGTGAGAGCGGGCCGCCCAAAAGCCAAGTCCCAATTAACCCCTGTCGCTCGCCTGCGTGACGTGGGACCAACCCTGCTAGACCCCTTCTAACTCGTTGGTGTCAAACGAAATGGAGGTGTAGTTAGAGGCAAAAGAAAAATGTCAGTCCCTGCAGGCCAGATCGATTAGACTGCTTATTCTTTTCGGTATGTTTGTTCCGTAACCCGCCGACTTGTGCTGTTCCTGAGCTGATGGAAACACAGAGGCTAGAGGAGGGGATGAATAGGTACGAGATACAGAGACACTAGAGACGGACCTCATGCCGGGCCACCCCCAGACACTCGGACTCTCGTTTGTGTCGGGGGAGACAGTGATACAAGCCCATGTCTCTCATTTTCACTCTCAAGAGCATGTGAAGATGAATATCCAACACTGGTCCTACAAGCCGTCCACGTCATATGATTCCCTGCTTCACATTCTATACTTCATATAGAAACATCCTCAACATCTTCCCATTCTTCTCTGCACTTCACATTTTCGCTTTCTCTCGGTCCACCTCCTCCTGCAAAGCCCCATAACTTTCTTTCTCTTCTGTTCCGGTCCCGCAGCCGATCGTCAACGCGCAAAGCCGTCGTGGGTCATACCGCAACTCCACCAATTGAGTAACAAACAAGCTCCACTGGCCTGGCTAAAGTTTGGGTAAGGTGATGTTTTTCTCGTGGTGATCGGTTGACGGTTTGAGCTAACGGAATGGGCTTGAAGAGAGAAAAACAGGACCGAAGGAACGCACCGCTTGAGATCGTCAAGGTCATTCGATTTGGGGATTGACGACGTGTGATAGAGCAAGGCAGAGCAGATTGAGAGTCAAGTAGACAGACATTCACACATATTGTCTTTGTCTACTCTACTCTCATTCTCCAGCTTAAGCTTATTGCTACTCATAAATAACCTCACTTCACTCCAACCCACCAACACGCAAATACCCGGCTTTTACATCCGACATCCTTCAGCGCCCATTACAAACCAATATCCACACTCAAAAACACCAACTCGTCTGGCTCGCCCTATTTCATCAACGCTATTCCTTAGGTACATGACACCACCACCGTCGTGCATATCCTTTCACCGCCCAGAGACCAATCCATCACCCCTGGTCCCCAGCATCCCGCTTAGAGCCCCTGCTAGGGCCCTGAACTTTTTCTCGACTGGGGTGTCTTTGGTTCAACTTGGGTTAAGTTAAATAACAAGACAAAGGCAGACCGCAACTTTTGGTCTTTTGTTTTGTTTCTCCCGCAACCAGGTTTTTTTTCGCCTTCGCTTCGCTTCACCGCGGAATAGAAGTGGAAAACACCCCTTTTCTCCTTTCTTATATATTCATTACCTTTTTCTTTCGTTTTGTTGTTGTTGGTGACTTGGACCTTGGCTGGACTGGGTCGGAGATTTGTGTCTGTCGCTTTTTGGGGATTATTAGTAAACGGGTGCTGTTGTGAATACCCTCTACCTCATCATACACCCATTTACCTTCTTTAACTGGAACGACTCGCCACAAATTAATCTCACCTTCAATTCACCTTGCCTCATACTTCGACTGGTCAGCTTGGTGTCGTCGGATGTTCGCCCATCATGGAGGAAAGGTCTGAGTCGCGAGCTTCAGGTACAACATACCATAGCTTCGCAGACACGGAGTTGTTTGAACCCCTGTCTCCCCCTCGACCACCAGTCACCCACGATACAACAACTCTTCAACACCTCGAGCATCTTCAGCATGAGCTTCAGCGCCAGCAGCGTGAAGCTCCGAGTAGCAAAGACTGGGTGAGAGAGCGTCGACCTGTCACGGCAAAGATGCAGCGACAAGATTCAGGCTATGAGTCAAACACTCCCCGACGAACCTCTACCTCTAATACCTCCCACGGCGGATCTACTATTAACAACGCTCATCTTCTTGTTGGCCGACGTTCGTCAAACGATTCTTCCAATGGTAGTGGTAGTCGTAGTGGTAGTAGCAACGGCTCAGGAGTCAGAACTCGTTTCAGAGATCGTCGCCCTTCACTCCGTCGAGCAGCAAAGACTCACCCCGTTCAACCAACACGCACATCCAACCAATCCCTCCACCTCGTACGCACCGCAACAGCTACTTCTCCCCCTAAGCAATCCGCCGCATTCTTCCACTTCCCATCGCCAGATCCTATTCAACTCGCCGACACCGTTCCCGACCGCCGCGTGCAGCCCACGCCCATCCCCTCACCTCCGCCTCAGACAACACACTACTGGACCAGCGACCGCACCCGCCGTCTTGAATACGCCGCCATCGACGCTGCGACGCGCGGTGTCAAGGGCTGGGTGATGCGACATCTCGTGCCTGATTGTTTTGTGTCGTGCGAGAATAAGCATGTCCCGTTCGACGATGACTCGGGCAGCGTGAGAAGGTATAGACTTGAGCTTGAGGATGATCATGCTGAGAAGGCGGGAGGAAAGTCTGTGCGGCGACGCAAGGGATGGAAATTCTGGCGCCGCAGAAAGGTCGATGCTCAACCTACGGCCTACATCTGAACAAACCTCAACCACGAAACAAAGAAACCCTACAACACCCCGCATAACATATCGCATCGCATCGCATCGTTGGCGTTATATACCCGTTGGCTTTTACATCGAGTTAATTTTACAGAAAGAACACCTGCATGATACAAGAAGATAATGATTTGATAGCATTTGGAGCGAAAGAACGAAGGAAAGCAAGAGAGTATGATCTAGATGAAGAGATGTGTCGCATGAAGCTTCTATTCTGGTGAGGGAAGTTATTTTTTCTCTATTTTACTTATCTTATTTTACCTGCGCGTTACTATTTAACAGACATTCTCAGCATTTATTGCTATTTATACCATAAGCATAGTTAGTATTGTTTAAAGACAAGAATGATTGACTTTTAGGCAAACATGTTCATGTTCAACCTCGTGAAGGTCCGTGACCCGTTGTTCTTTGTTCTCCGGGTGTTCAATAGCTTGGACCGAGCGCTGTTCGCAAGCTTGGTGATGATATAATGACCGGGCCTCTCGATTGACCGCCCGATTTCTGAAACTGCAATTCTAACAGCCGATTCACAATGGCATAGCCGATCTGCAAGAAACAGCCCATGATGCTCATCTCGCCGAATGAAACGCCGGCCACGAGCCGCTCCGCCTCCGAAGGTCCACTCCGGAGGTCAGCTTCGGAGCCTTGTCAAACGATACTACCGATCCGGCGCAAATCCCTGGAATTGGTGGCTTCACCGGCCAGGGAAGAGGAAAATGATCGGGAGGTGGAAAAGGTTCCAATGAGTCTTGCGAGGATTGTTGTTAATATGCAAGAGCATTACACGGCGGAGTTGGAGGCTGAGAGACAAAGAACGGAAGGCTTGGCGAGGCAGAATGAGGAGATGATGAGGAAGATGGAAGAAATGGAGAGCAGACTACAGATGCATGTTGTTCTCATGGATGGATTTGTCGGGTTCATGAGGGATGTAAAGGAGGGGAAGTTTGCAACTGGCGGAGGTGCGGAAATGGAGATTGCGAAGGCATTTGGGGGAGAGCATCTTGACGAGGTCAGACGGCTTGTAGCGGAGAACTACATGCCAGTTCAACAGAGCGTGGAGGAACCAGCTACTGAGCCTATAGTCTTTGATGATGAAGATGAACCTCAGCAACCAGCGCCAGCAGTCGTTCGACACGTGAGCTTTGATGAATCGCCATCAACGCCAGACCTGGAAGCACCTCCTGTACGGAGCACTGGACGACGAGCACCAAAGCGCAAGAATCCTCCTCTGAGACCACATCGTGAGGTGAAGCGACAAACAAGAGCGACCCTGCGGAGTGTTCGGCTTCGTAACACTTCATCATGGACTGCCATCAATACGAGGAATTCTCCGTATGCAGGTGCCGACTTGAGTAATGGAGAGGACAAGGATCTTGACTTCACTCCTGACCTTGAGGTTGACGAGGATGACGAAGAGGAAGAAGAAGAGCAGGAAGAGGTGGAGGACGATAGCGACAGTGAGATGGAGGACATACCAAATGTACCAGCGACACCTTCGCCATCCCTCTCCGACGAAGAGCTCGAAACCACAAAGACCCGATACTCCGCCCCCCGGTCTGTCGCATACCGCTACGCCAGCGGTCCACCGGGGCGCAAGTTCAAATACCACCGCATGCCCAAGTCCGTCGCGTTAGTATGGCAAGAATGGAAGCACGGCAGTAACGGAAATCCATCGATTCAATCCCTCGAGGAAAAGTACAGCACGAGATGGCGAATGGGGACGTTACAGGAACGCAAGTATGCGAGTAATTACGTCGGTGTGAGACAGAAAGTCGTGAGAAAGGTGGAAGAAATGTGCGAGCAGAAGGGATTGGCACCAGAAAAGGCTTGTGAGATTTTGGATAGACGCGTTGATGGGAGGATGCAGTTACTCATGACGGCGTTGAGAAAGGGGCAGGATCCGCTGGTGGTTATTCCTAGGAGATAGTATGTGAGTCAGCGATGTTGTGCAAAAAGACAATTGACATGAATTAGAAAATGACCATTGTGAGTGAGTGACTGAACAAGCGAACAAGCCTCATTCAGGTATTGTTACAGACAAGTGTTCACTGGCCTGAAAGACAAGACCCTGTCTTCAATGAATGGCTTCTTTGACACCCCCTGCAAGACAGACCATTGCTTTGTCTTCACCACCTGAACACTGATACACGAGCAGAACATGATCTATCATTTCACCCACAGACCTCGCTACCAATCGTTAAAAGCACTTCGCTATGCCTTTCTCTAACTTTACCAGCTTCAACTGATCTCTTGAAGCTACACCACAGGTCACTACTGTCTCTACACTACGTTAGCCACTGTGATTAAAAGATACGCTTCAACACCATGTGCTACATTCAGGTCATCCACATCACCCGCTGCGAAACCCGTCGTCCAGCTGTCATCAACACTACCACCGGTAAAACAGTCTACCATCCGCTCGAACCACCTGGGGTCTGCGAGCACAAGCGGCCATTTGGCGACGCAACATGTCATTACCATGGCGACTGCTGCTCACCCGGGCAGATCTTCTTCTGCAACGCAAAGGACCCCAGGGATATGTGTCGTGGTAGGCAGGCCTATCACATAAATATTCATCCTAACTACATGTACGAGTCCGGCGTACTTCACCAAATGGAGCCCATTGAAGACTGGGAGGCCCTCGAGATGAACACCGATGTTTTCGCGTACGAGGAGGATATTCGATATCAGTTCATGGAAGCCGGTGCGTTGATGTACGAGCTTAAGAAGGACGCCGAGAAGATTGTTGAGTATATCCTGCACCACCAGACTAGCTGTCCCGAGGAAGAGGCGGAGCTGTTCCTTGAACATGGCGATCTTTACGAGATGTGGATTGAAGCGCACCACCAGTTCGTGGGATTGAAGGAGGCGTGGGAGATTCTGGCGAATGTAGGCTGTATGGAAGTCTGCCCGTCTTCTCTCCTGCGCGTTCATCCCTGGCGAGAATGCTTCCAGGAATGTCCTACGCTTCAAAAGGGGTTCCCGCAGTTTAATTATGTTCCATTTGCTTGGCTCGATAATGTAGAGCGACAGGATGATCTTTTGCGATGTCATCCGTATTACTCTCAGCATCAGGCACCACCTCGTCCTAAGCCACGTGTTAAGGACGATGCGCTTTGGACAGCGCCTGCGCCATATGGTGTCAATCCAGGTATCTCTAAAAAGACCCTTGGACGGGATCCGGAGGTTCAGGGAGGAGCAGAGGCGCTGCCGTATCCAGGAGAATGGGCCGAGGTGTTTGAGGACAAGGCTCGACGGGAGGCTGAGATCGAAGCTGAGCCTACATCGATTTCGTCGAGTTCGGGTCCAGAAATTCCTCCTTGGCTCATTCCCTACGGTAAGGAACCGGATATGGGATGGAAGGACATTGATTGGCACCACTGTACTACGATTATTGAACGGCCTATGAGCCCAAAGACTCTTCCGCGCAACGGGGTGATTCAACGGGTCATGCCTCCGAAGGACAGTTACATGAACCCTAAGGACGCGCCTAAGGGTCCGACAGCTCTTCCATCAAAGGAAGAGACTCGACGTGTCAGCCCCCTATGGCGAACCGAACCTATTTCCAAGGAGGTTATACCATGGGACCTCTTCGGCGATCCTATCAAGGCTCCATGGAATGGGTACAGCTTCACTGGGACGGAGAAACCGGCAGAGCAGGAGTTTCTCCACGTCCCCTCACCAGTGGAGGAACCTCAGATCATTGCACCTAAAGCAAAGAAGAGCTTGAAAAGGAAGAGTGAAGAGGGCCAGGACGGCGGGCTTCAGAGGAAGAGATCGAAGGGGGTGGAGGGATGGACAAAGCAGAAGTTATCTTATGTCCCTTCACTAATCGGGTATTCTAAGATCTCTGCGCGTAAAGCAGTGGGGACGCTGAAGAGAAAGAGCGAGGATGATTTGGATGGGGGGATTGAGAAAAAGAAGGTGAGAGTTTGTACCGTTTGAGGAGCTCGTGGATTGGGCTTTGGGAGTTCTAGGGGTTTAAGGGTTAGGGTCTAGGAGTCAGGAGTCAAGGAGTTATGGTGTTTAGGAGTCACAGCTTTTGGGAGTTAAGGAGTTTGGAGTTCTGGCGTTTAAAAAGGTTATAGAAGGGCTTGGGCATAGATTGTGAATAAGAAATAAAAATGGTGAGAAACATATGAGCAGTTTGATCGTGAGAAAAGTGATGGTCTTGATTGATGCTTTACTAATGATAATTAATCGTTTACTTGTTAGGCTGTCTGAAGCTGGTGACCAGACCAGTTTCCTCATCTCTCTCGACACCACCACCGATGACAATCCCGTTTGCACGGCGAGGAAGACTCAGAAGACCCTTTCCAACAGTATTATAGTCCCCAAAGAACGTATGAGCGCGAACATCAGTTCCCGTGGTCAGTCCATGTCCCAGAGTCACCCCCCACATATCTCCAACACGAATAGCATGCGCAGAAGAACTAGCATCGCGCTCCAGAAGAACAGAGTAGATACATCCAGTATACATCACAACACCATTAGCTTCGTTGGCGGGAAAGTTCCAGCGCTTTCCGTCGGAAGAAACAGGATGCCACGGTGTGACGAGAACTTTGCCCACGCGACACAGGATCTCACTCTCAACGGGGGTCTTGAGAACCATGGCGACACGGCGTGAACCACGAGGTGTACGAACTTTCATACCACGTCGAAGTTTTCGGATCTGTACCGTTCTACCAGAAGCGAGCGTGACAACTGTAGAGCCTGCGAAGCAGACGCCGCGGGAGTTACGATAAGAACTCATGCTGAAGCCTGTCATTGAACCATGCGAACGGGCGCCGCCTCTAGAGTGCACATGTCGCGAAGGTTCGGGGGCAGGGAGATTATCGAAGATTTGATCAAGTGCGTCGCGGCAGGAGATGAATAGAGGACTCTCGGTGCTGTACTGAAGGGGGCCGGGGTCTTTGAAGGAGTTGCAGACTTGACGTGTATGGGCGTTGAGGAGAGATGGGAGGAAATGACATCCCCATCTGTTGAAGTATTCTTTGCTCTCAATTGCCATGGAGACTTGACCTTGGGGTTCATCGGCTGATACGTCTTGCAAAAGAGACTGGTTCTTCTCGTCATTGAAGTTCTTGGCGGGGAGGGTATCGATCCAACTTCGAAGCTCTTCGCGCTTGTTCTTCATACCCCGTGTGATACCGTGCTCACCATCTACTCCAATAGGGAACATGGTCGAGATGAAGTTACAGATTAGAGATCTAGATTCATGGTATGCGATCTCAGATGCGGGTAGGTCGCTGTACTCTAGAATACTGCGCTGATTACTTGCCATGGGAATGAAGTTAGCGTCTTTCGAAAGCATGGACTCAAGAACCTTGCGACTCTTGAAACAATCCCCAGGCTTGACGTATGTCAAGTGCGCATCGACAAGAGCACGAGTTGGATTCTGTTCATTCAAGAACTCAAGCTCCTTCAGCCCATTAGTGCTGAGGAAGATATCGCGAGACTGTCCAAACTGCAGATTCCCAAGGTTTATGGTAAGTTCAACCTGGCTATCTTCCGAATCATCAGCAAACGCGGGTACAATCTGGTCCACGGACGGCCCAGTTGTTTCGTACAACTCCAAAGGCCTGGTGTATGAGAGTTTGAGAACAGCGCGAGTTGCGAATGTACTTTGCAGGTTTGCCACGGCGTGTACGAATACTGTTCCGATCATACCGGCGTCGGGGATGAAGGCGTAGTTACCGCCGCCAATCTCGGCGATGGACTTGAGGAGCCCGGAGCGGAGACTGTAGCCGAAGCCGAAGGTGTGGATTGAGGCTGGGAGGGGACCCATGGCGCGGATCTTGGGGACGAAGCCTGCTGCTGGGTTCCTGCGAAGATGAGTATTTGTGATTAAGGGGAGATGAAGAGGGACTTACATGTGGTTTGGCATGCCGTCAGTGAGGATCATGATGGCAGGGACGTTGGTTGATGACTCTCCAGTGTTGAACAGCTTGATACCGTCAAGCAAACCCTGCCAGAGATTGGTAGCGTCGAGAGGTTTCATGCTCTTGACATTCTTGAGCGATCGAGCTTTGTTCTCTTTGTTCATGGGGATAAGAGGCTGAAGGGCCTTGGCCTTCGAGGCAAAGGTGACGATACCAAGACGGTCATTCTCGTTCATCGATTCAATAATAGTAAGCGCAGCATGCTTTGTGAGGTCAAGAACAGATAGACCATTACTCTCGTCGCTTTCTCCAGGGACAGGCGCTGCAGAGACCATGGATCCAGAGACATCAATTACAAGGACGATATCGCAAGGGACATGGGGGATCTTGACGGATGGTTCCTTTGGGGGTTCAATCTTGACTAAGAGACCTTTTCTGTTTGGTACAGGCTCTAGACGAAGAATCGCATCTTTATCAGAGATGGTCCCGATGGGTTGAACCTGTTCCTTTTCGGGGTCTTCTTTAGGCGTTTCGTCATTGGTGTTCTTAGAACCACTGACGAGACTGCGAAAGATGGGTACTCTCTGTATATTGTCAGTTACAGTAATCCTTAGAAGACTTGTTAGTACTTACAACCATGATGGGCTATTATGACCGTGTCAAACGGATGCGAGATCTCGCAGAGACTCAGAGAGATTAGGAGGAAGAGATGAGATGCTAAGTGTAAGCTGACTAGACAGCGAAAGCTAGCATTTAATAAGTAACATGTTTTCCCAGTGAATGCCAATCTTATGGTCCTACAGAAGGATTTGTATGAGTCTGACCGGCTGTATGTAAGCTAGCACCCATGTCACTATCCGCCCGTCATACCGAACGGACCACACAGCACGCCAAGGTAATTCGCCAGGCAGATTGTTTGGGGCCGCACGAATACGGGGAGGCTAATAAAGAAAAAGAGAGCGAATGAGGAGACAAATGTCTGCCTTGATATGGCACCAGATTGTCGGATCGCTTTTGCGGGCGAAACAGTGTTTCATGGGCTGAGCTGGTGGGCCAAGGCAGACATGATACTTGCCCGAAACAGGTAAGATTTTTGTGTGGAGGGGGCTTGTGGTTTGCCGTAGTGGCACATGGCGGACTGCGAGGCATCTCCAATCTTGCGGGGTAGACTTGGGATTGCGTGTAAGAGGCTGAGGGTCAGAAATGGAAGCTTGGACTTGGGTATTGGGACTATTGATCTGTCTAAAATTGGATTTAAAGAAATAGGAGCTGGCTCTTGGGTTGTATGTTTGTTTGTCCAATTTGTTGTCTTGTGAAGCAGGTAGAATAGGCAGAAGGAAGCCTCGTTTGTTAACAAGCTCTGGTAAGTTAGAGCATCCATGCCAATGACACTTGAAGTCGTGATTGGTAGTACACATAATAACTGGTGATTTCTCTTACCGTCACGAGCTCAAAGCCTGAATAGAAGTACGAGCTGAAAAGATGTTTTCGATTCTGACCCTGATAAGGAGACGCGCAGCCACGGTGTCCTGTTGTGCCCTTGGGCAATTGTGTTGGGTAGCCGGTATACTGCCCGGATTGACTTTGATAAGGGTTATTTTGAGTTGATAGTCCCCACAGCTGATGGCTCACATCACGCGCCTCACACACGTCCTGTTGTGCAAATGATGTTCGTTCTTTCACCTTAAGTTAGTTTCGTCGTAGATACCTAGTGGTTAGTCTAGGACATTTTCGTCCTATGGGAGCACAACCATGGTCGCTGTAAATAGTCGACCTTTTATTTCGTGGATGTGACCTCAGGCAAACATATAACACCACCCTGATATTAGTGCCAGGCAGCAATTCTGCTCGTTGGGCAGAGTGATACGACAGTTGTTCTTCTTTGCAAGTGGTCACCCTATACCACAAGCTCTATGAGGTGGCTGGCGGCTTGGATACATACAGATTCAGAAGAATGGGATATGTTCCTGGTCGCGAGTCAAAATGCATCGGAAATAAGGCACTCCATTCATCATTGGTCGAGGATGTTAGCAGCGTGATCTAAAAGACCAGCTGGTTCAAGTCGATAAAGTTATTTCTACAGCTCCGTAGCCAACCAATCTCAGCGCTTGGCTTGTAAGTTAGGCAGCACGAGTTTGGCCCTGAAGCTCCCTTCTCCTATTTCCTATACCTCCTTCTAAAGAGATGACCATTGTCGCTTTTATATACATTTTACGAATATTCTTGAGGCTCTCGGATTAATTAAGGTCTTTTTTAAGCATCGGCGGACTCCGAATATTACAGTGGATCCGTTCAGCGATGATGTGGAGATGTCAAAAAAATTGCCTGAAGATCCCAAATTCTTGCAGGCGCGGTTGCCTCGGCCCTGCTTTTTTTTTTCTTTTCCTTCTTTTCCTTCTTCTTCCTTCTTCCTCTTGGGCATTAATATCTCTTCATCTGTCCCCGTCGCAACTCGTTTCATTCTTCTATCTATATACTAAAATACGCTCCGTGCGACGTGTAAATACCGCAAAAATGGTCGAGAAGCTCTACGTCACATACAACGATGTAAGGAGAATTTACCCCGCCACCCCGCCTTGATGATGGGTTGTGATGCGCATCATGAAAAGTCTAGCGATGCGACAGTATCACCAACTTGATGGAACACTGTTTGCTGGGGACATGACAGCTGTAGAAAATAGCCCTCTATCATCAGCTATGGCACAAAACACACAAAAGGTCAGCTGCTGACGTGCTTCTCAGGTGCACAAAATGTGCCAAAAGTCCGCTGAGAAGCTTCTCGCAGACTTCCAGCCCCAGCTTCTGATCGCCATCGGTGGCGGTGGTTATGTTCCCGCTCGAATTCTCCGATCTTTTCTCAAGAGAGCCGGCTCTCCCAACATCCCCATCCAGGCCATCGGTCTCTCCCTCTATGAGTCTCTCGGCAACGATGAGGTCGAGGCCCCCGGTACAAAGGTCACCCGAACACAGTGGCTCGACTTGACCGCTCTCGGCGAGATGCAGAACCTCGTCGGAAAGCGAATCCTTATCGTTGACGAGGTCGACGATACCCGAACAACCCTCGAGTACGCTGTCAAGGAGCTTGAGAAGGATGTTGAGATTGCTCGTCAGCGAATGGGCGCGGATGCTCCCGCTCCCAAGACCGAGTTCAGCATCTTTGTCCTCCACGTATGTAGCACGATACTGAAATCACAAGCTCAAACTAACAAATCTTTAGAACAAGGACAAGCCCAAGAAGGGAAAGCTCCCCGATGATATGCTTGCCACCCGTTACTCTGCTGCCGAGACCGTCGGCGACGTCTGGATCAACTACCCCTGGGAGGCCATCGACATCGACGAGCATGACAGGAACGCCAGCCTGCAGACCAAGAGCAACTAAGTGATTTCTGAGAATTTGGAGTTGGGAAAATGGCGCACAGATTTAAACGAGATATCATATACTTGATGAATGAGATTCCTGAACTATCGGTTCAAAAGATTATCTATACAATGATGCCACCCAAACAGCACCAGACACGAACTAGTTCGAGCTGCAATGCGAAGGAACCCTGCGCCTGCTAACATCTAACACACCAGATACCCGATTCCAGGTCGCCTCCTTCCAGTACTTCAGACTTAACTTTTTCCGTTCATCTCGTTTATCTTGGATCCAGTTCAGAATAATTGGGATCGGGCCTAAGTTCATCACAAGTAGCTCGCGGGAGATAAGGGCCGGGTAGCGCTCGACGTATTCCGGCGAGTCCCGTGACAAGATCCTATTGCTTGCGATAGCGTACGCTTTGATGAAGCTCCTATAAGCACAACCCTTCAGCCTCCACTTTTCCCCATCGAGATTGTCTCGCTTCAACGGAGGTCGCGGCCATACTGTATTGTTATACACAGCTTCGGCCATGGCCTTTGTTTCGTCTTGGCCTGGCTGCAGAGGCTTGCAGTCGCCAAAGTCAGTCATCCACAGCTGCGTACGACCTCTCTTATCGGGTGCAAGATAGAACTTGACCCCAGCTGCATCTAAGTTGCATTTCCAGTGGAGTATTGCAAGAGATACGCCCATCCTCTCACACCACAATTCCAGGTGTTGCTCTGCCTCGTGCTGGAGCTGGTCGAGATACACGGGGCGGGAGAGGAGTCTTGTGCTTAGGGGCTCGTCTGGAGGTGCCATCAAGCCGAGATGGACTCGAAACCTGACGTTTGACAAGTTCGGGTCATTTTTGACTGACTCTCGAATACTGGAATCGACAAATGTGCGGATAAGAGCGCGGACTGTGGCTGGTTGGAAAGTCGGAATAAAGCTGGTAACGTATCCTGCTGTTGCGATATCTTGTCCTTCATGATCATGATGGATAACATCGGACACGAAATCCGGGATAAGGGGCGACTTAGGCCCTCGGTATCGAGTGCCACGGCGATTGAATTTGACCTTGTCACGGCGTCTCGGTCCTGTACTTATTTCTAACGCAGGATCATCGTGTTTGTCATAAAATTTCCGTGTCGCTCGTCTCCATGAGAGATTCATTTGCTCTACGACCAACATATGGTTTTGCACCTCTCTCTTGATAGCCTCGGGGTTGTCAGAAAGTTTAGCGGCATATTTTATACCTCCGACTTGGACTTTGTGGATGTTTGAGTTGTCGTGGCAGGGTATCTTTGTGAGTTGGTATTCCGCTGCATCCCAGAGTTCCGGGAGGCACCAGGAGGCGAGGCACCAGGAGGAGCCATTGTACGAAGCGAGCTTTCTGGGGTCACAGTCGTACTCTGTGCTGAGAGCATATTTGCTGTCTCCTTCCTGTGTCTCAGTCGTGTTGTCTTCTTGTGTGAGTAGGGTAACGACGTGAGGAAGGCGGCGCTTTTGAGTGCTTGCCATGGTGTTATGGGGAGCGTTTGCTTCGCCAGCTGTTATAAAGAGGTTGTTGAGTTTTCGCGGTGTCGGAGCCAATTGAGTTGCTCGTGCTTCAGGATAAGCGCCCTTGGGTTGTGAATCGCGGAGGCAGAAAAGATTACAGGTTTAAAAAAGATTGACATTGGAAGCGGGCCAGCGCAAGTCTTATATGTCAGGCTCAAAGTTTGTGATAACAAACTTCTCCCAGTTTAAAAGTTTATATAACACAGATATTCTTGTCTATAGTCTAATCATCAACTCTATCATCCAAACCCCCAATGAGTAAAACGCAAACAAGGGGTATAAGCTTTTCCATCATGACTCATGCCCAAATAACCTTTCAAACTCACGCTTCACTCAGCTGTCCTTGGTGCCCTCACTCTCATGCCTCTTCTTCAAAAGCTTCTCCGTCTTCATAAACTCTCTGATCCCGACTGGCAAATCCGCATACAGCTCCTCGTCCCAAAAGTCCTTTGCGATCTTAGCCTTTCCAACCTCTGGCGCAACCCAATTCGACTCTGACCCTCCACCGTCCGAATCCATAGACCCCTCGTGTTTTCTCAGCGCAGCTTGTGCCTCTGCGTTCTTGAGCTGCCACTCCTCCAGTTCATCGCGGTACTGGTCATACACGCAGTTTACACACCCGCTCATGCAGCAATTATCTGGCTCAACGGGCTTGGGCGGTACGAGCACGCCGGCTATGTATGTCGCTTTTGCTTTTCGGGCTGCTAGGCGCTCGTCTTTTTCTGCGGAGCCGAAGAGGCGTGAGCCAAAGACTAAACGTGCTTTTTCTTCTGGTGTTTGCACGGCGGTTTTCGTGGGGAACTCGGATTGCACTGAGGGGTCTGCTGTTTTGGGTGGGACTTCTGGTTTATCGATTGGGATGTGGGACGGGTTATTGAGGATTACTTCGTAGTAAGGGCCGAGAGAGCTGCGCTGCGGCCAGTCTTCTGTGCGGTTTGGTGCGCCGCTGACGATGCTTCGTGAGGGTATTAAGGGTCGTAGCCGAGGTAGTAATCTGGACGGTATTGACATTGTGAATCGGCGCTGCTTAATTGATGTGTATAGGGATATGGCGAGGGAGGCTTTTGGGCGTTGAAAGAGGAGGAGTGGCGGACGGAAAAGTGAGGAAGTTGGGTTGGTAATGCAAATAGCGAGAGCCGAGAAAGTTGGTGTTGAGGGTCGGAAGTCCGTCACTTTCGCCTCGGACGTCATCGGCAGGGGTGAAGCTAGCAAAAACTGGGGTGCGTGGGGGCGGAATTGAGCCTCTTGAACTTTGTTGGTGACAACTTCAGACTCACAAACGTTAACTCAGTATAATCGAAAGATGGCATCTAGTACCTGAACATCTTCTCAAAGTTCGAACAGATGCTCAGTTATATCATTTGCACCAGATGGCTTGAAGGTTCTCATGCGATCAAGTAGGAAGCACGTGATTCATTCGAGGCTGGGCTGTGAATCCACCTGGGGCGGTTGTCGGCTATCCGATCACTATTGAGTTAAGGCTCCTATGGGTAAAAGCGCGACCTGGAGTCCATTTCAGGCCTTTATACACTCATTTTACAGCCCTCAGGTGTTTGAAAGACGCTTGTGTAACCTCAATCCACATTTGGCATCGCGAAAACAATTTGCCCGTTTCGGTAAGCGGTGAGGCCCACTTCCGCAGACGCGACAGGGTCATCGAAAGTAAACACGAACCAATGCAACCACCAATTATCGACAAGACAATTCAACATCGCCAAATGTTATAACCAATTTCCTCAAATCACCCAATAATCACATAAAATGGAGGAATCTGCGCCAAAGCGAAGGCGTACTTCGCCGCGCACTTCTCTCAATGTCGGCGCAACTGAAGAACCTGCGTCACCGCAAAGAAGACGGCCATCATACGCATCGCCAACCAAAGCAAGCATGTCACGAAATAACCCCGAGGCTTTTGAGCGCCGAAGATCAAGATCACCGCAGAAGTTACCGAGCGCACGAGCTTCCGGTCAATTTACTTTTGATAGTCCTTCGGAAGCTCTTGCAGCGCGATTGGCAACGAGTAGGATTGTTAGTGATGCTCCTACGCCTACGCGCCCTGAGGATACGACTCCAGGATCGATTAGACGTGTGGGAGGAGGAATGGCTTCTGCTGCTAGGAGGACGTCTTCGAGAGCGGGTGTGAGCGCGGAGGAAGATGACTTTAATCCGTTTCGGGGGAAGGTTTTGAGAAGATCGCCTCAGGCTGGGATTAGGATGGATGTTGATGCGCCCTCTGCTTCGATGCCGCAGCCTGAGTTGCCGCCTGCTTCTATGCCAGAGCCTCAGCTTGGATTGCCTTCGGATGAGCCTATGGAGGAGCCTGAGGAGAACACTCCCATTCAGTCTGAAGAGCTGGCACCTGCCGAGGAGACGTCACCAGCGAAATCCCCATCAGCGGCTAGAAGCCCGTCGCCAGCACGGTCGTTTTCCTCGTATGATCTCGAGATTCCAGCGCGATCTTCATCCCCAATTAGGTCACCGTCTCCAGCTCAAGCTGCTGCAGCGCCAGAGCCAGAAGCGGAGGAAGAACCGGATGGAGAGCCTGAGCAAGGCGTAGAACCAGAAGCGGAGCCAGAACAAGAATCAGTGTCAGATCTTGAGACCGAACCCCAGCCTGATCCCGAACCTGAACGAGACTCTCCAAGCCCACCACCGCCTTTGCCAGACTTCTCATCCTCGCCCCCGCCAGCTTCAATGCCGCCTCCAAAGATACCACCATTAGTGCAACCGAACTCGCAAGACGCTGCTCCATCAGTTTCACAACCAGTACCTCGACTACCGCCACGCGACACAGGACCGCGAAAGAGCTTCCAGAACAGCCCAGTCAGATTCCGCGAGTTCTCACAGCAACGGGACTCTCCACTTGGCAAACCGCCGTCACGTCTGTTGGAGAAGCCAAGGAAGAGCTTCGCTCAGGCGGGCTCGGCACTCAGAGAGCCGCCACCTGTTCAAACCAACGCTCCAGAGGCTAGACAACCCCGGGCCTTTGATCCAGATGCAGAGAAGAAGAAGGAGCGGGATAGGGTTCAGAAGGAGATAGAGAGCTTGAAAAAGGACCTTGAAATCGCGCGAAAGGAGAATGAGCGCATTCGATTGATGCAACAGTCTGGCCGCATACTTGCACCGACAAATCAAGACGAGGTCATCAGCCTTATCGAACGTCACCTAATGTCTACTGGCACAGAACAGAGCAAAACAGCATCACAACAGTTATTACAAGCGGCGCTAAATCCCGCTGCTCTATTACCTTTCAGCAAGCCTACAGCCCCAGCGGTCCGACCGATTGAGGAGAAGCAGCCTGACATCAAGTCACATCATCCCGTGGCCATGACAGCGATAGAGGAGTTGCCCTACCTTGAGCTTTTTACACCATTCTCGATGACATCCAATACGTCCATACTACCAGAGGCTGAAGGTGAGCCACTGAGGCAGCACTACTCCATTACGCTTCGATCACGCGAGATACCAGGAATCTTTACAGCCAAGATTGAGATGACAGTCAATGCCACAGAGCTTACGGTTCTCGATCTCGACGTTACAGCCTTGGAGCCAGCTGCAAAGTCTGAGCTCGGTCCTTTCATTCGCAAGATATGCACAGGTGACTGCAACCGTTCCATGCAACGCAATATCGGTATCCTATCGTGGGCCATGGGTGAGTGGCTTCGAGTCGCTCTCGATAGAGCAGGCTTTTGGTGCCAGTTGGAACAAAGTCTAGGCTCAAAGGACGGTGTATCGGAGGCTGCAGCTCGAATGAGGTCAAAGAAACATCGACGGAGGAGGGACAGCGGTGAGGATTCGGATGAGGACGAGCCGACGCAAGTAGAATCTGTCAAGAAAGCAGACCTCATTCGCTATTTGGGCCAGCAACACTTCGATATATCAGTTCCGTACGGCGATGCAGAGGAGTCAGGCGCCACGGTACGACTGGGATGGAAGACCGAGTTTGACTGGACTGGAGAAGCGCAAACCAGACTTTCGGTCTTGGTTGGCGCTCCAGGGAAATGTGAGTACATGCACGACTACAATGATGTAAACAGTCACTGACGATCACAGGGCACCAAACAGACGAACGAGGATCACTTGCAAAGATCCCCAAGCTTTTTGAAGAACTTGTACATGGACACGAAGAACCCGAAACAGCTGTACGAACAATTGTAGCACTCATTGCCGGCGAGCAATCATGATAGAGTCCATATAGATGGCAGACCTCACAAGGATAGGCGTATGATGTGTAGAATTCCTCTGCGCAGGTCGCAAGAACAAGATACCAGATTATTGTGATTAAAATTTTGTAACCTCATCTACCATCCACCCTAACCCTTCTATTGCCGTTTAGATCATCGAGTGCGTGTCCGCTTTTCGCCAATTTAGTCGACAGTGACGCCGAGCTGTCGGAGCTCAACCTTGGCCTGCTCAATCTCCGCCGTGAGCTCCTTGTGTGCGTTGGGGACGTCGTTGAAGGTAAGGATGCCGAAGCCGAGACGGAAGAGGAGGTATGCGCCGAAGGAGACGAGGGCCCAGAAGGGGAGCTACAATGCCGGCGGTTAGAGAATTGAAGTTTGGAGTATCTGTTTAGGGGGTGTCATACCACAGGGACGATCTGCTCCTGGATCAGAGGAGGAAGGGGGATGAGCTCGAGGAAGAGGGCAAGGTAGAGCTGCACAGCGTTAGCTCAATTCCACCAAGATTGTTACGGTAGGCATACAGAAGAAACCAAGAGGGCGAGAGAAATGGTCTGCTGAGCGCGAGTCATCTTGGCGGTTCTTTTTTAAGGAGCGTGGTGTTGGAATGAGCGCGGGGGAGGAAATGTGATGGTATCGTGGTGCTTGAGGAGACGTGTCAGGGGTGCGCGTTGTTGGAGCTGTTTGGATGACTAAGACTGTGTTAGGTAAGCACTTGGAGACCTCAACCTACTTACCCTACATACGAAGCTTTTGTTCCAGGGATGAATAGCAACTTATTATTTTCTTACAATATTGTTTAATAATTCAACAAGCTTCATGTCTCCTTATTGACACTTTTATTAAAGGCCATATCAGTTCTATTCATATCAATAAAAGTCTGGTCTCAGGAAACCGATCAGGATGTACAGACGTTGAACTTGAGATATCTGCCCTTCTTAGCGTGAAGGTACCTTCCGTTTTGACATAACGGTATTTTTTACAGAGGTAACGACGGGCCTCCTTCCAGTTCCACCACCACTTCCTTCCGCTTTCCTTGATTAAGTTCCATTCGTAATGATGGCAGCTTCTCACGGGTTGCCGACTGCACTTTGATTCAACCCATCAACCTTCATCAACCAGAATAAACATCAACACTGGCGTCAACGGCGTGTTCGGTCTAGCACCTTGTTGTTTAGCAACCTACTTACGTGGACATGCCCGTCTTTCTCCCGCTCAAGTCCCGAAAACTGAGTGGAACGACGCCCATTTTCCGTTCAACCTTCACCGTTTCTCCAGCAATTTGGCCATTCAGTTTGCTCGATTTTGTACAGCTAAATGTATCTGAAGCCTGGTCTCAAGCGACAGTCTTGCGACTTTTGCTTTCGGCGCAAGATCAAGTGCGATTGGGTATCGCGTGAATCCGAAGGCTATACTCAGTGCTCCCATTGTGAGTTACGGGATATAGCTTGTGCGAATTCCGATGACCGCAGTCGAGCCAAACGCATGCGCCGTGGTGTCCGTTCTGCCGCCGCTCGTCGAATCTCATCCAGTCCCGATGACGGGCATGTGGCCGATGATGGTAACCCTCCCGGCAGTACCAACGATACCTATCTAGTCAATGAGGAGAAGAATATCTCCGCCCTGCCCCAGATTGACCTACCCCAGACTGAGGTATTGCCTATTGACCCAAGACTACAATATCCGGCTGTTGACTCTGAGCCTGCATGGCAAGATATTAGTTGGGATCTGGGAGCTGAGAGTATCTCGTTTCTTGACAGTGTTTTTACGCACGACTACAACTTCGACGATATGCCCAACAGTCCTCGGATATACGCCAATGGGGAGATCGTAGATGCTTTGCAAAACCCTTACGAAATCCACGAGCTTGATCCGAGCACTCTAAAAGCAGCAATCGACGCTTACTTTGACCTGGCGTCGCTCGCTATCCCGATACTAGACAGAAACTCATTCCAAGCGGACTACACGAGCCACAGAGCCAGCCCTGCATTGGTGTACGCTGTAGCATGCCGAGGATGCCCCTTCCTATCGATGTCGCAAAAATGGCTGGTGCAGCAGCGGCTGGCGAGCGAGTTCAGACGAGCATGGCTGGAGGCAAGGTCAGCTACAGGGGACAAGCAATCAATCAGACTGGACGACCTTGAAGCTCTGGCTCTCATGGTCGACTTTGCCTACGAACCGGCTGGAGATGTCAACACAGCGCTCCATTCCCAGCTTGGCAGCCTTTTCCTAACACACGACAGCCTGGTCCTCATGACACTACAATATCAGATTCTTTGCCACACGTCCTTGTCCAAAGGCTCCTCAGCACCCTTGCATGGGACAGAAGAGCGAAAAAGGTTGCTTTTCTGGTACGTGTATGGTAAAGATACTTTCCGCGCCCTCGACCAAAAGTCCCCATCTCGTATCAGGGACGGCCATGCTGAAATTATCGAGCAACTACCAGAGCATGAAGAGCGAACATATCTTGATGCAATACTCTCCTTAGCCATCATCGTAAGAAAGATCAACCATGACTTTCTGGGTGTCGCTGCTGGACATGCAAATGTCAGCCACCAAAATGTGGTCGAGTTATACGGTCAACTGGAAGAGTGGCGTAAGAAGTTGCCCCCTTACTTACTTTGGGACACTAAACGAGACTTCAGCCTGACTGCTGAACACGGTACTGGGAGACTGACCCAAGCGCGCCAGCTGCAACAAGCTGTCCTTCTATTTCTCGAACACAACTGCTGCATGCAGATCGAAAGATGTGCTTCGGAACGTGGGATAACTAACCCCATCTCACTGGAGGCGGTTATGCTGAATCACCTTATCGAATACCAAACCTTGGCAATGACGAACGATATAACAGAAGCTGTTAAGCGGCTCCAGTCGCAGAAAGTATGCCAGAGCACACCTCAAGGCACTGTTGCCTATCCCCTGATCGACCTTTCCCCAGACATCCTGCGCGATATCTGTGCTGGCACTGCTTATTGGTTGTGTGACCGCGGGAAGAAACTCATCAATTTCAACAAGGCTTCCGTCGGTTCCGAAAGCCACGGGGAGGCTTCTCTAACGCAAGGGGCGAGAAGCTTTGCAGCAAAGGCGGCATTGCTGAAAGATGCCGTGGCAACAGCAAAATCGCACAAGGATACACCATGCTTGGTCGAGAAGTTGGACGGGCAGCTCTCATCTTTGAACGAGGCGATCAAAAGCGCCAATAACGGCCGATGACTGTTTTTTTAAAGTCTTCATGACTCTTCTTTAAGAGTCCCGAGTACTCTTTCTCATATTTGATGGTCATACAGGCTCTCTGATTTGCATTGTGATATCTCGGAAAGGGACAAGAAGAAAAGGCAGGGGAAAATAAAAAGAAGTCAGAGTTATGCTGGCCGTACAACATGTTACGGAGTTTGTATTCATAGATTGTCTTTAGATACCTATCCTTCAGGGCGTGAAAGATGCTATTACTTAGCTAGTTTCGGGGGCTGATAATTAATCATCGTTTTTATAACGACACCAAAACGTGATCCAAATACTGGGGTACCAGGAATGATAAATCCTCAACCCTTTGTCTGCACATACGACATAGTATAGTTCCCGGCACAAATAGGCTTTCCTGAGTTGGCTTTGCGGGCACCCAGCCACAACTCAGGGTGAAAGATGGTCAGGGTGACGGTCATGACTACCATCGGTACGCTGTCCAGTGCAAAGAACACGCCTTCCATGGACGCGAGGGGGCCGTTGAAACCTCCGCTTAGCTCTGCACATCGCCAGCATGAGCGGAGGAAGAGACAGGCGGAGGCTATCGCCAGACCTGCAAACCACACTCATTAGTCGTTGAATTTCCATGGCAACAGGATACTCTCACCTATCACGTAAGGATACCTCTTCTCCTGACAGATTTCAGGCCAAGAGCGGCGGCAAATGACCCAAAGTGCGAGACAAAAGATGGCTGTGAACAGGACCTGAACAGCTAAGCCGGCGATCATGAGGTCAACACCGATTGGATTCTCTGCGAATATAGCCGCAAGAGAGCCGCCACATCCTATGAAGCAAAGACATATGAAATCGCCGAGGATAAATAGAGATGCAAAGAGGCGAGGGCTGATGCGAGTGAACCGAGATGTAGGATAGTGTTGCTGAAGTGTACTGATGTTAAGATAGAGGGCAGAAGATAGAAATGTCGGGCCAAGTGTGAGGCCGATGATATACCTGTTCATACCCATTAGAATTCATCATAATACGAGCAGAGAGGCTTGATGGAGCTTACATGATGTACCCATTCTTGTTGTCTCGATTGTGTGAGAGCTGAACCTTTCCACAATAACCAACAAGTTCCAATAGAATGCCACAAACCATCCCAATGGAATACCCATAGAAACGCCAGAAGCGAATAGCAATGAGGACATGAAGAAGAAGGAAAATCGAGTAGAAAGAAAGAAAAATTGCATCTGGGGCCAGAAGCGGCGAGAAATCTATGGCTGCGATGCCGTTCCGTAGTGGTGTAGTTGTGTTCATGGCGACACAATTAGGAAGATGAAACAAGAAGGAATATTTAGGAGAATTGAAATAAAGTGACTAGAAGTAAGACGAGGTAAAAGAGAGAAGTTGTTTGCCGTAGGAGATTCTAATATATGTAGAATATGTGTGATAGACTAGGACGTGGGGCGAGCGACTTACACCACATCCGAGACTAGCGGATTGAAAACGACGCTATATACGGAAATCAAGCGGTAGATAAGTCCAATTCTTTTAAGCGGCATATGAACGGCCATCGAGTGGCGATCCATCTGCCCTCAGTAATCCAACTCTCGTCCAGGTTGAAGGGAATTGCCAAGATGGTACGAGCTGTATATAAGAGCCACTTCATGCTCAGTTCTGGAATGAAATTAGTATAGAGACCCAGAACCACTGTCAAGATCTGTATAGTTGTATCCAAAATGCGCATTCAAACTCTAGGAACGGCTGCATTAGCAGTCCTCTTGGGCTTTGGCACAGTACCAGTACAAGCTTCGAGCCCTTGTCCCCTCTTTGGACCAGATTTGCCCATTCCAACAGCACTGGGTGGCGATGTTTCTATCAAGAGTACCGTATCTGAAATCCTAAAGCTTATTCCAAGCATCGATATCGACTTTCAGAACACATCTTTCTCCATCGACATCTATACGGCGGCAGACAAACAACCCCTTTTCACCTATCATCACTCAGCCGCATACCGTGGACACGGCGTCCATATCGTCAATGATACGACAGTTTATCGCATAGGTAGCATCTCAAAATTGCTCACAGCCTATGTATACCTACTGGAGGTAGGGGACGTGTCATTCAACCAGCCGGTCACACGATATGTGCCCGAGCTAGCAGATATCTCTGCAGAGCTGAGGAAGAACCATGCCTCTCATCTTAGATATGTGGACTGGGATGTCATAACCATCGGCGCACTCGCATCGCAAATGGCTGGTATACCACGAGACTTCCCAAGCCCTGCTTCGACGGACCGCCAACTAGAACGATTGGGATTTCCGTCGGTTCGCCCGGTTGACTTTGCCTACTGTGGAAAAAGCGTCTTGTATCCTTGCAACCGCACTGGTATGTTGTACTCATCCAATGTCTCGCATAATACTGACACCTATCATAGCCTTCTTTGACGCCATACGGAACCGTCACCCAGTCGAAGCGGCGTTTTCAACCCCTATATACTCCAACATCGGCTACCAAATCATGGCTTATGCGCTTGAGAATATCACTGGAACGAAGTATCCTGATATCCTATCGCGCCAGCTTATCGTCCCTCTTGGCTTGAATTTTACAAGTTATGCAAAGCCAGCTAGCACCGACTCATCTATCATACCTGATAACCCAAGCAGCTCTTGGTATGATGTCGACACACGCGATGAGGGACCAGCCGGAGGAATATATTTGTCGACAGCGGACCTACGCAGGATCGGGCAGTCTATCTTGACCTATGAGATGTTGTCGCCCTCCCAAACCCAAAGATGGATGAAACCCCTCAGTTTCACTGCCGATCCACAGGTTGCAGTCGGCGCTCCATGGGAGATTGCTCGCGTTCCTTCCACCAACAGAACCAGTTGGATGTACACCAAGGGCGGTAAGCTGGGGATGTACAGCAGTCTGATAGCTTTACTACCAGATTGGGGCGTTGGACTCACTGTCCTGGCTGCTGGACCTGATGCTCCGGGAATTGTGGGCATGATTCCAGGTGCGGTTGTTTCAAAGCTAGTTCCTGCTTTGGAGCAGGCTGCTAAGCGACAAGCAAGACGAAGTTACAGTGGCCGCTACGGAGATGGAAAAAATGGCTTGAAATTAGCTGTGCAGGATAGTTTACCGGGACTGGGTGTCACGTCTTGGCTTGTTGATGGCCGTGACATGTTTCATTCGATCCGACTGATTGTTTCAGAGTCATCGACTGGCTCAGGAAACGTCAGCATGAGATTGTACCCGACGGGGTTGCAGAGGCAAACAGACGGAAAGGCTAGAACTGAGAGCTGGCGGGCGGTATACGAGATCATTGACGCCTCTTCGCCGTCCAGTTCGTACTGTGCTAGCTGGTTCAGTGTGGATTCCGTCACGTACGGAGGTGTGTCTATCGATGAGTTTTTCATCGATATTTCAGCAAAGGGGGCTGTTCGGGGTATTACAATCAGCGCCTTTGGTACTCGGTTTGTAACGGTACCGCGTCGATTTAGTATGGTACTGGTGCGGGTGGGATCTGGTATATTACGCCTTGGTTGTCAAAAGGGAGGCAAGAAGACTTGTGATCTCTTTTCTATGTGATAAGAAAACTTGGATAAATTTGGCATACGTTACTAGAAATTCAGATCGGTAACTAAGAGGTTAAATTGGCACAGAGAACTTGGTAACTGTCCTACCTCAGGTCAACCCTTGCCCACAGATGTGACTCTTCCCAGAACGTGGGGTCCATAAGCCTGCAACCCAATTGTAGATCTGCAAGCATTCCCTGCAGGAAATGGATGCTTATCATACGTTCATGAGAGACTTCACCGGCTAGTAACGCGGAAATATGCCGTGAATATCCCATGACCCCTCATTGCCATCTCATACATTGTAACTCTGTAAAGTTATCCTGGTTTCATTGTTTATTTCGCCATTGGCTCACAACTTGCGGCGCTCGCTTTAGGTCGTTCATCATTTAATACAACAAGTCCATAGGCTTCATGGATTACAAAGTCGTTGTTGCAGCGGTACACGCCGCGCCCGTGTTTATGAACAAGGCCGCTACTACTGACAAGGTTATCAACTTGATTGAGCAAGCGGGCAAAGAGAACATTGAGCTGTTGGTCTTTCCGGAGACGTTTATTCCTGGTTATCCGGTACGTCCTTCATTATTCGCCCTCTGCGCTGCAATGGCATAACTAACATGGCACAGTATTGGATCGAGTGCTACCCGCCACTCCAACAAGTAGGGGCCCTTGCCAAATATGCCGATGAGAGTGTCGTTGTCCAAGACGGCGACGAAATCGCACGCATCTCGGCTGCCTGCCGTCGCACTGGGGTAGCCATCAGCCTCGGTATTTCAGAGCGTATTGCTCAAGGTTACACGCTCTTCAATTCTCAAGTGAATATAGATGCAAATGGCAGCTTGTTGGGCGTGCATCGCAAGCTACAGCCAACATATGTTGAACGCTCTGTCTGGGCGCAAGGTGGTGGTCATACTCTACGAACCTACAAACTGACAGCTTCAGGGCGGCCTTTCAACCTAGGCGGTCTTTGTTGTTGGGAACATACCATGAACGGCGCACGCCAAGCCCTCATAACGCAGCACGAACATATCCATGCTGGTGCCTGGCCTGCTTTGTCAACCATGGCTGGCTTCGAGGCCGTGGCTGATTCTCAAATCGAGGCTTTGATGAAATCACATGCCCTAACAGCTCAAGTCTTTGTCATCACTGCTTCGAACTACGTTGATGAGACTTGTCTCGAGTGGATGGAGAAGAATCTAGGCAAGCAGGAGTTTGTCAAGGCGGGCGGGGGCTGGTCTGCCGTCATTCACCCGTTTTGCTCATTTCTTGCTGGGCCACATACTGGAGCTGAAGAGAAGCTTGTCAAGGCTGAGGTGGATCTGTCCCAGCTTGGACAGGTCAAGGTTTGGGTTGATGCTGCTGGTCATTATCAACGTCCGGAAATTCTCAAGTTTAGCTTTGACGACCAGCCTTTGTGGGCAGATGAAAAACAAGCCTCCGAGAGATCTTCATTTGTTAAGAACAGTCCCGAAGAAGAGCCAGTGTCAAAGGAGACTCTTTAAAACAGTTTTGTAGCTTTAAAAATTGATTGCAGGTAAAAATACAAAAGATTTTGGCTTCATACTTATCCAAACCTCAACAAAGTGTACAAGCCCAAGTTTATCAACTATAAGGAGATGGAGTTCATCTAGTACGAACATCAAATACCGTCCAATTATAAGAATGGGCCAAACTTTGGCCAAATGCTATTTCATATCCCTCATGCCCTTTCATTAAAGTAGCCGCCTCTTCGAGCAGCCTCTGGCAGCTCGGTTGGCCTGTGTCTACCTTCACAACTTGATTTCCACAGTAGCTGTGCCTGTTCACACCATCGAAAATGTTTCAAAAAGCCATCTTGAGCGTATACTTTATCTCGAGCCTCAAATGCCCATCTCTCGCCTCCGGCACCGATGATGTCTTTCTCGAGAGCAAGTTGACACCCGGCACACGACATTCCGTGTTCAACATTGCCGGTTACTTTATCGTAATAAGGAAGAGCACATGACCCCATGAAGTTGAATTTCTTGCTTCGCTCTGACCTCTCTGGCTGGAATTGCATAGTTGCTGGGGATTGTCGTCTGGAAATCAAACTGGCATGATGAAGAGACACGATCGTAAAACGGGATTTGTACACAGATTCCTCCATCGAGTATATGCCCGGAAAGGTTTTGAATGACTTCAGCTGGCTCAACTCAACCTTTGTCAAGCGGAACTCCTTCTTTACAGCGGAAAGAGTTTGTACTCGAATCTCGGGAGCCTCCTTGAGACATTTGAAACAGCACCGCGTCCATGATAGGAGCGACATATACCCACCAAACTCGCCGCAAAGACTACAAGACTTGAGACACAGGACATTGTAAAAGTCGAGTAGAGAAATGTCAACAGCAAGTCGTGTTCGTAGTAAAGCGCAGAAAAGATTCAGGCCGTGTAAAACTATTATCTAATACTGCTTGAGAGAGTCTACCGCCTGTCGCGATCGACAATTTGCTTGTCGAAACTTGAACAGAGAATGCACATCAAGACGGACCAACATATCATGGAGGAGCTCCAGTGGTAGCCGATCGAGGCAGCCGAATCTGAGATTTGAAGCCCGCTGGAAGGGTGTTGCTATTGACTGACGAATATTGATGTGCTCACTCGACGAGAACCAGATCATGGAGAGAGCAAAGTCTTTGCGATGGTAGGCGGCTGTTCTAACAATGGCGTCGGTATGTTCTTCGTCGAAACTGTATTCTGTAGCGGAGCGATATCCGCGGAGCATGATGGCGGCCATTCATGAATTTGTCGGCAAACTTGAGTGGGTGAGAGCCATGGGCCTTGAGAGACGTGGCGATGGATGATTCCGATCAGGCCTTAGGGATGCGACCCGCACTTATCACCTAAGAAACGCGGACATCAAGTGGAACGCCCTCTCTAATCTATGTTGCTTATGGCTCGTTTCTCTAATCATCTGTCTCTTAGCTACCAATCTGGCCATTTTCAAAGGCTGAGTTCACATACACACATCAAGAGGAGGTCCCTTCTATTGGAGCAGATTCAGTGCCGTGCCCACTAAAGGCGAGTCTTCGGTGTCTAATAACGCCACGGAGTCTGAGGTTAGTATATTGGCGGCAGCCCAGATTACAAGCATGCGCGCAGATACTATCATGGGCGACAATGTGTGAAATAAAAAGCAGAGTACCTGTGGTCACCAACATTGACGTCTGCTGGGTGGAGACTCGGCTAAGAATTAGGTGGGTCAGATAAGCGAGCCCACCTCAGCCACAACACCATGGATTTTTGGATTGGACATCGTGAGATGATGGGCACATACGACCATAGCTCGCGGAAAATACGGGGTCCCGTTCGCTCCCCCAGAGTCAAG